TATTTCTGAGAAGCAATTTATGGTAATGGAAACAAAAATTATTAACAATTACCCGGCAATCATTAAATCGATCAAACTCGTTTCTTTAAATGAAATAACCGCCTTTTATAATTTCACACTAAAAAAAAATTTATTTGATTCAAATAATCGATTGTTTGCATTAACAAATAAATATTTATATTTTTATTAACCAAATTATTATTTATACTAAATTATTATTTTTACTAAATTATTATTTATACTGAATTATTATTTATACTAAATAATAATTATTTTAATATTAAATAATAATTAATAAATTTAGCATTATAATTTAATCTTGTTCTTTTTTATTGGCTTTTGTAATTATTGTTTTTCTTCCTAGTAAACAAAAACAAAGTTTCAAACTACACTTTATTTGATTCAAATGAAAAATATTTGTCACAAATAAAATAAATTGGAAAATAGTCAAGTAAGTAATCATTTTAATTAGACAATTTTTCTCACACAACACTAATTAAGGAAAAATAATTGCCTAAAGTTAGAGAAACTTTTCACCTGCTCATTGTCACTGTAATTTTAAAAACCTTCCCTCTACCTAAAGATTAAAGTTTTATTTGAAACACTTTAATAATTGACGTCTTCTTATTAAATATTAAATGTGTCTAGAAAATAAATTTTCCTCAAACAAAACTGTTCCTTCGCAAATATTTCCTGACAAATACAAAGAAAATTTTCTTTATTTACTAAAAGTTATTTAAAAACACATTTTTATTCAAATTATTTTTAAAACTATTTTCTTGTAAAAAAATAGTTTTCTAAGAAATAGTTTTCCTAAAAGAAAATAGTTTTTCTTAGAAATAGTTTTCCTGAATGAAAATAGTTTTCCTAGAAATATTTTTCCTAGAAATAGTTTTCCTGAATGAAAATAGTTTTCCTAGAAATAGTTTTCCTCAAAAAGTAAATCGAACAAAAAAACATAATTACGAATACGAAACAAACAAAAGTTTCATAATCACTAAACATAAAAACTCACTTAAAAAAAAAGAAGGAGGAAATAAAATAGTCAAGATTAATGATCTGATTTTATAAAGAAAGAAAAGAAAAATTGAAACGAATTTTTCAACACTATTTAAGGATCTCGAAATTGCATCAGATAGAACATGTTAACGTCATATAATTTTCAAATCGAAAGAATATTTTCCATCAGGAAAGGACAAATATTAATCAAAATAATTTATCTAGAAAATGTTGTCTAACCCTTATAACTTAATTCACAGGAGAATAACAGACTGAAAGCACATATATATGTATAATATAATATACGCCTTTGTTTGCCAGTGTAAGTTCGATGCAGAGGTAAGCAAAGTGTTGTGTATATTTAATTATCTACTTGAGTCAGAATTCCACGGGAGGCTTATACCGTTTGTTAATGTGTAGGTTGATATAGTGGATTTATATATAGTTACAATTATAAACAAGCTTGTTCTCTCATCAAAGTAGATAAGTCTATCACCAAATAATTATGCACTCAAGTCTCTCAAATCATACATGAATTTTGAATATTAATTAACTCCACTGTCAGTTGCCGATGCACTTTAGATGATGAATTCTTAATATCAAAAAGATACACAGAAAAATCATTTTTTTTATTTCTCTATTCTTTTGCGAAAGTTCTTCAATCTTTTATACATAAATGAATTCATTTATATAATTTATAATATAATAAGAGGAATTTTTAATTAAAAAATATTTAAACACAAATAGTCAACCAAAAGAATATGTTTAAATTTTAAAATAAGAAATTTATAATTGACTCAAATTTTTATTGAGTCTTACTTTTCTTCAAAAAAAAAAGAATTTTTATAAACTTTTTTCCAAAAAGAATTCTTTATAAAAAAATTGTTTTAAACTTTAAAAAAATTCCTTAATTAAACATATATTTAAATTAAATTTAAATTGATTTATAATTTAATTTTTTAATCAAATTTTTATTATTTTATTATTTTATTTCTTAAAATCAGAACATTTCTTTCTATTCAACAAAGCAAAAATTTTCCCCTCAATAAAACACAAAAAAAAACCATTCCAAAAAAGAAAAAAATGTATTCATCGTATTAACACATTCATTAACTAATGTTCAAACAATGTTTTATTTAAGTAGTAAAATACTTTATTAAGTAAACTCCTTGGAAATGTTATCCATCTAAGATTAACGAAAGTCTCTTTATTAGTTTTAAACAAAACTTCACGAGAAGTTTGCGTGCGAGTGAAATTGCATAATATGGTTTCACGAAAATATAAAGTTCTCTTTAATATTGAAATTGTAAATGTAAAAGATCGCCTATTATATATATGAGAGAAACTTGATTACCTAACTTTCTGTAATTTGCAAAATTAACTAATTACATTTCTCACTCAGCGAAAAGTTTCTTCTATAAATCCAAACACAATAATAGTCAACCAAAAGAATATTATGTTTTAATTTTAAAATAATATTTTTGATTCGCTTTTTGTCTCAATTTGATATCCTTAGAAAAACTGCAAAATTTGTTAAGAATACAAAAAAAATAATAATTTTGAAACAAAATTAATTTTCTAAAAAAAAGAAGAATTTTAATTCAGAAATATACTTCTCTTTTCTTCTTGTAACAGTTGCTTTGCAAAAATAATTTTTTTGAAAAAGAATTAAATAGTTAAATGCAAAAATACTTTCATTTCTATTATTTCAAATCAATTATTGCTTTAAATAGAAAGTATTCTTTTAACAGAATTTAACTTTAAGACAAGAATTCTTTAAAAAGAATATTTTATTCTTAAGTCAAGAACTTTAAAAAAAAATAATTCTTGAGTCAAGAATTCTTTAACAAAGTTCAGGTAAAACATTCTTTAAAAAGAATTTAATTCCTATGTCAAGAATTCTTTAAAAAGAACATTTCATTCTTAAGTCAAGAACTCTTTAAAAAAATTGATTCTTTAAAAAGAATGTAATTCGTAGGTCAAGTATTCTTTAAAATTAATTTCTTTCCTACAGTTCTTACAATAATTGTTCTCGTTCTATTATTTTGCGACAGTTGCTTTAAAAAAGGTATTTTGTAAAAAGAATTTAATTCTTGAGTTAAGAATTCGTAAAAAAGAATATTTAATTCTCAAGTCAAGAAATCTTCAAGAAAAATTAATTTTGAGTCAAGAATAATTTAACAAGAATTAGGTAAATAATACTTTGAAACAAATTTAATTCGTGAGTCAAGAACTCTTAAAAAAAATAATTCTTGAGTAAAGAATTCTTTAAAAACTTTAGTTAAAGCATTCTTTAAAAAGAATTAAGTTCCTAAGTCAAGAATTCTTTCAAAAAAATATTTCATTCTTAAGTTAAGAACTTTAAAAAAAATAATTCTTAAGTCAAGAATTCTTTAAAAAGAATTTAATTCCTATGTCAAGTATTCTTAAAAAAAATTTAATTCCTAAGTCAAGAATTCTTTAAAAACAATTTAGTTTCTACAATTCTTACAATAATTGTTCTCGTTCTATTATTTTGCGACAGTTGCTTTAAAAAAGGTATTTTGTAAAAAGAATTTAATTCTTGAGTTAAGAATTCGTAAAAAAGAATATTTAATTCTCAAGTCAAGAAATCTTCAAGAAAAATTAATTTTGAGTCAAGAATAATTTAACAAGAATTAGGTAAATAATACTTTGAAACAAATTTAATTCGTGAGTCAAGAACTCTTAAAAAAAATAATTCTTGAGTAAAGAATTCTTTAAAAACTTTAGTTAAAGCATTCTTTAAAAAGAATTAAGTTCCTAAGTCAAGAATTCTTTCAAAAAAATATTTCATTCTTAAGTTAAGAACTTTAAAAAAAATAATTCTTAAGTCAAGAATTCTTTAAAAAGAATTTAATTCCTATGTCAAGTATTCTTAAAAAAAATTTAATTCCTAAGTCAAGATTTCTTTAAAAACAATTTAATTCCTAGAATTCTTACAATAATTGTTCTCCTTCTATTATTTTGCGACAGTTGCTTTAAAAAAAGGTATTTTGTAAAAAGAATTAAATTCTTGAGTTAAGAATTTTAAAAAAAATAATTTTTGAGTTAAGAATTCTTTAATAAAAATTAGGTAAATTATTCTTTAGAAAAAATTTAATTCCTAAGTCAAGAATTCTTTAAAAAGAACATTTAAGTCTTAAGTCAAGAATTCTTAAAAAAAATTAATTTTTAAGTCAAGAAATCTTTAAAAAGAATTTAATTCCTAGGAATAAGTTAAGAATTCTTTAAAAAGAATATTTAATTCTAAAGTCAAGTATTCTTTAAAATAAATTTCTTTCCTAGAATTCGACAGTTCCTTTAAAAAGAGACTTTTTGTAAAAAGAATTCATTTTGTTAAATTTTCCCATTCCTTTTAAAAATAGAAAAAAATTCCTCGATTTTCCCTGATTTCCCTAACAATAAATGTTAAATTTTCAATTTTTATTCCAGTCTGTAATTTCTAAAAAAAACTTTCATGAAAAATATTTCGTTTATTCGAACCTCGAAAACTTGTGCATCATGACAATATGCTTGATTGAAAAATATTGCTTTCTCATTTTCAACCATATATTGTTTCTAATTATTGAAACTTGTTGTTTCAACTCAAAACTAATTTCATGCGCTTTCAAAATCAACAAAAATAACAAAAGTGTTCCCTAAAGATTAAAATTTTATTGACACTTTGCTTTAAGTCAATAAATTGAGATTAAATCTAAACGTGAGATTTAATCAACAAAGAAAGATTTAATAAAAAAAGAAAATGAATTTAATCAATAGAGATTAAATTTTAAAAATTGAATTCAATCAATAAAGATTAAATAAAAAAAAATCTAATCAATAAAGAGAGATATCCCAACGTAACGAGAGGTATCTTGACGATAAAAAGAGATACCTCAACGATAAAGAGAGATATCAAAACAATAAATTTCATATCTTTCCTCTTTTTCAAAAATTCTACAATTACAAAAAAAATAATCATAAAAATCAATGCAACTCACCAATTTGTGGAACGTCGTACTGCCTATTCCCTCTACTCGATCTGAGCATAACTTGCGAAGCAATATTTGGAGGTAGCGAAGGTAAATTTTGCTTGTGCCGTTTTGATACTCCTCGCGCTTCACGATTTGTCGTGCTAATTCTACTCCTCATCATCCCCGGGGATTTATCATCCTCTAGATTCATTGACCCCGTCTCATCTCCTCGTTCACGAACCGTTAACGATGAATCAGTCGATTCCTCCGGTAAATCTTCACTTTCATTATTAAACGACATCGACGACGATTTCGCAACGTCAGAACGATCACTAATGCGATTGTCCCGATTAAACCGATTCTTCACAAATGGACCCTCAACATAGTCATAAACATCATTTTCAGGTCCTCTCCTCTCCCAAATGTCTGGTAATTTTCTCATTCCATTATGCTGCTGTTGTAGCTGCTGCTGCTGCTGCTGTTGTTGCTGTTGCTCCTGTTGCCAAAAAAATGGCGTCTCTTCATAAGGTATAACACCATTATCATCATTATCATGTCTCCCCTCAACATCATCATTTTGATGCATAATATCCAATACAGTTGAATATAAATTGTCCAACCATTTATTTTTATAATTTAAAGGCTTCATGATCCTTTCATTATTAAAGACACTCGTTGGGGAATGTGAAGGATTTTTATTATTATTTATATTATTATTATTTATTGTTTCCGATTGGCCATCGTACAGGTACATGTTATTCCTTAGAGGTACATCGTGTTGATACGACCTCAAATGAAGTGTATTTCCATCGACAGAATTCATATTATCAACCATTTTCTCGTGCTTTTGATTTCCTTTTTGATCCTTTTCAATGCTTACCGGCCGATTTCCCAAGGCTAATGCAAGCCCCAGTCCCACGTAACTGAGGAGCCAGAGCATTCGATTCGTCATCTTACGAAATACAAATATTTCTTCTTTCTCTTTTTTTTTCTTTTATTATTTAATATAATTGTTTATAAACTTGTTTGTTTGTCAGTCGAAAAATTCACGTTAGGCCCAAGTTTTTTTTTTTTTTTTTTGGTTTGCCACACTCACAGTAAATTAAAAAAAAGAAGACGGATTCGGATTTTTAGGAACTTTAGGAACAAAGGAGAAGGAAGAGGAAGATTTAGAAAAAGGAGAACAGAAATGTTAGTTTTATATAGTAACTTTTTCCCGTTGAATATCACTAGCTTCTTGAAATTTTGATTGAGACGATTTTTGATGAAGCGTTAGGCCCTTTTAGCGTCCTCCCAATGAGAACGCACGTCCTTCTCTTTCGAGGTAGAAGTGCAGAGTGCTGTCCTGAAATCAGGTGGTTCGATTACAACGTGAGTTTTGTGCAATTTACTTTTAACAGAACTTCGAAGGTGCTTTTTCGTGCTCGAAGGTGCCAATGACCAAAAAAGTGGTGCACAGTGCAGTAAAAAAACAAAACCAAAACAAAAAATCAAAATAACACTAATTTTTGGATCAGTACCACAAATACTTTCTCAAAATCCAAAGTTCATTTCAAGTTCAATATTATCGACATATTTTTATCAACGTATATTTAAATAATTAAATATATTTTTACTTAAACAATGTATATTTATCACTGAGGAGGAAAGTCCTCTCTAATGTAACTTCTCACCTCTCGCTCGTACCATCTCACACGCATTGTCCCTCTCACTCGTATTCTTCGCGTCCGTATCATTTTTTTTTCACCCCCTCAAAGAGAGGGAGATAACCGAGCAATAGAGGGAGAGAGAAAAATATATGTATATACAGACAAGGGGAGAGTTTTCACAATTGTTATTTCTAATCCTTTGTCAAAACACAATTACCGTAAACAAACGTTTACCAAAAAATACGCGAGGCTTTTTTTATTTTCTATGGAATAGGCATTCGATTGGGCGGAATGTGGTAACTTTGTACGAATTTACGTTTTATTTTATTTCTTTTAGTTTACGAATTTTGTTTAAATTTAATTTTGTTCGTTTAATAAAAGCGTGCGATATATAAAAACTGTGCGCTTTGTGTGCTTAAGGCTGTTTTTATTTTTCTTCCTTACTGTGCAAAAAAAGGGTGCTCATTAAAACACGACTCATGCATCACCGTGCAATGAAATATACGGAATGTCAATTATCACTTTCTTTAACACCGTTTTATTTTCTTTAAAAAAAAGTCTCTCTTTAAGCTCTTTTCACGTAACTTTAATTTTATTTAGTTTTCAAGTGTCTTTAAAGTTTTTAAAAGTTCTTTTCGAGTGTCCTTAAGTTTTTAAAGTTTTTTTACGCGTTCTTCAATTTTTTTAGAGGGTCTTTAGATTTTTAAGCGTCTTTACATTATTTTAAGTGTCTTTAGATTTTTTAAGTGTCTTTAGATTTTTTAAGTGTCTTTAGATTTTTTAAGCGTCCTTAAATTTTTTAAATGAACTTAAATGTTGGTATGTGTCCTTAAATTTCCACAAGTGTTTTTAAATTCTTTACTGTCCTTAAATTTTTGTAAGTGTCCTTAAATTTTCACAAGTGTCTTTAAATTCTTCAGCGTCCTTAAATTTTTTAAATGAACTTAAATGTTGGTATGTGTCCTTAAATTTCCACAAGTGTTTTTAAATTCTTTACTGTTCTTAAATTTTTGTAAGTGTCCTTAAATTTTCACAAGTGTCTTTAAATTCTTCAGTGTCCTTTAATTTTTTGTAAATGTTCTTAAACTTTTGTAAGTGTCCATAAATTTTCGTAAATGTCCTTAAATTTTTGTAAATGTCCTTAAAATTTTGTAAATGTCTGTAAATTTTCGTACGTGCCTTTAAATAAATACGTGCCTTTCTCTAAAGAGTTCTTAAATTTTTTATAAATGTCCTTAAATTTTTGTAACTGCCTTTAAATTTTCCTAAGCGTCCTTCAATTTTGTAAATGTTTTTAAAATCTTTTAAGTGTCCTTCAACTTTTGTAAATACCCTCAAATTTTGTATAACAGGCTTTAAATTTTTTTAAGTGTCCTTAGATTCTTGTAAAGTGTCCTTAGATTCTTGCAAGTGTTCTTAGATTCTTACAAGTGTCCTTAGATTTTTGTAAGTGTTCTTTTTTTATAAATGTCTCTAAATTCTTTTTCAGTGTTTTTAAATTTTTATAAACGTCCTCATATTTTTGTTGAATGTCTAGATTCTTGTAAGTGTCCTTAGATTTTTCTGAATGTCCTTGAAATTTTTGTAAATGTCTCTAAATTCTTTCAAGAGTTTTTAAATTTTTGTAAACGTCCTTATATTTTTGTTAAATTTTCTTAGATTCTTGTAAGTGTCCTTAGATTTTTTGTAAGTGTCCTTAGATATTTGTAAGTGTCCTTAGATATTTGTAACCGTCCTTAAAATTATAAGTGTCCTTAGTTTTCGTTTAACCTTAAATCTCTCAAGTTTTCTTAAACTTTTCAGAAATCAAACTGTTCACGATTCCTTAAATTTTTAAGTGTTCTTAAAAATTTTTTATAAGTGTTTCGTATGTTCTCAAATGTTCTTAAATCTCAAAGAATCTCTAAAAATCTCTAATTAGAGAGTGTTACTGTTGATGTTAATTGTTATTATTATTGTTTATCAAAGTGTCATATTTTAGTTTCCTAAAATATTCTTTGCTCCTAATTTCTTTTTCTCCTCTTTTTATAGAAATTTTTTAACTTTTCTTTTTCTTTACCCTTTTTCGAATACTAAAGATATTTTTCTCGCGCCTCTAAGTTTTTAAAGAATTTGTTTTTGTAACTTTTCTTTCAACTCTTTGTTATAGTCAACTATTTTCCTACAGCATCCATAATTTTTTATCTTTTAACATTCTTTTCACGTAGTCTCAAGTTTTTAAAGTATCCACAAGTTTCTTTCCCCTCCGTAAAGTAACTAAAGGGTGTCTTTACAAACTCACAAGGTCTCTCCTAATTTATCACTAAACTCATTTCTAAAATCTAAATTCGTAACGTAAATAATTCAATATATTATTTTTAATATTTTACACACTTTTAATATCTTATTTGTTTACTAGTTTGAATTTTATATATTTTTTTTAATTTATTCCGGAAATAAATATAACATTTTAGTGTCTTTTAGTGTCCTTAGTTTACGCGTTCTTTTTATTTTAGATTTATATTATATATGACTAAAAATTTCCGTTTTGGTGAACAACGATGACAACGATAACAACAAGAGGATTGTGAACAAACGTGCAAATGTTCTTCCTAAATCAGGTGCTTTCGAGTGACTTCGCTATTTATAGAGAGTGCTTCGTAGTATATAGTAGAGTATCAACAGGTGCTCCAAAAGGTATGTAAAAAATATTCAGTCACAAAAAATCTAACAGTTAGTGCAAAAATGTGGGGAGTCGGTGCAAATATATATACACATATATATATATAAATATTTGTAGGTATGTGCGTGTATGTTGATGTTATATTTATAAAAAAAAAAGGAAAACACAAGTATCGCGCGATCACCGTCAAAAGTTGTTTTTCAGCTCGATAAAAATCACGACACAATTATTACTAAATGAAGAACAAGAAGAAGTAGAAGAGGAAGTAGAAGGGTGCAATTCTCTCAGTGCCATGAAAATACTTGCTTCTGAAAATTGCGATGCCTGATTTATCCGTCCACCTCCGCCTCCTCCACCTCCACTTTCTTCGTTTCTTCTCCGTTGTCTTATTCACCTTTGCCTCTTATTTTTGTCAGCCTTCTTTTTATCCACCAGTTTTTTGTAAATAACTTTTCATCCAAAACCTTTGTTTTTTCGGTAAAAAAATTTCTTTATTTCACAAAACTCTCTCTCCCTCTCTTTCTATCTCGTTCAATTCTCTCTCTCCCTTTTCGAGGCACACTCTCCTCTCTACTTCACACTTTTCACTTTTTTTTTCTTTTTGCAAAAAACCCCACAAGAGAAAGAAAAAAATTGTCGGAGGCTCTTTTAACTGTCTGGCACGCGATAAACACGGATAGTCAAAAACTGATGATTTGACGAGAGGCAAGAATCGAGAGAGAGAGAGAGAGAGAGAGAGAGAGAGAGAGAGAGAGAGAACAGAGATGGAAAGTGAGGGAGAGAGAAAGGTGTGCGTGCAAAAATGTGCTGTGCTGACGTTGTGTGTGCTCACACCCTTTCGGCAAACATCAAAAACGTCGGCGATGTCTGCAGCAAAAATCCCATGGGCGGATTGAGTAAAATCATTGTCTCTTGTAGTTTTCGCCTCTTGCTGACTATGATGATGATAATGATGTTGTTGAGTGTACAAAAAAACTTATTTTCTTTCTGAGAAAATTGAAAAAAACACTTTTATTGCGATGGCATTATTATAAATAATCGTGTAGATTGGGCAAAAGGGGGGAGAGAGAGAGAGAGAGATAAATAAAAAACAACTGCGTGACCGTTTGATCGACAAAACCGACTGATCGAGTATATTTAGTGTGTTTGATGGTGGTTCTTGTCTTTGGCTTGCGTCTACCGGTTGCGGATGACGGTTAGCTTCTAGGAGTTGAGCAGCTGGGCTGGAGCCGAGAAGCAGTTGAGCGGCGGCTGATTCAACCAGAGAGAGAGAGAGAGAGGAGAGAGGTGGCGGCAAGAGAACCACCACCGTGTTATGGAGGTTGCTTCTTCTTTGGCAAAAGAGAGAAAGAGAGAGAGAGAGTGAGTGAGGAACAGGGGTGTTGGAGAGGGCTCGGGGCGGTGGGTTAGTTTAGCGAGTGAGCCGGCTGGCGCCCTCACCAGAACTAACTCCCACGCTGCGCGGCATAAACCACCATTTTAATACGGCGCACATCCCCCTACACACTCAATCCTCCCCACTTATTTTCCTCCAAGTAAAACCATCCCTTTCTCTCTTTCTCTCTCTTTCTTTCTCACTCCGACCTCTCCTTCACCGGAATCCATCTCCTCACCTTCGTCACCCTTTTACAAAAACCCCACCAAGTCCATGACGATGTCATCGTCGTCGACGACGACGACGACAACGACGACACTCACCGTCAAAGCGGGATATACTCTCTCTCCCACACGGATTGTGTTGTGGTTGCCTAACTACGTGTTACGGCTACATTCATAAAACTAGCGGCTCACAGAAGACGATGGGGCGCTAGACGTGTTGTGTTGGCTTCAAGGGGGCTTTTTTCCTCTTTCTTTCTTTCTTTCTTTCTTTGACTAAGAGAGAAAATAAATCCCAGAGAGAGGGAGAGAAAAAAAAGAGAGAAAGAAAAAAAGACAGAGAGAGAGAAAAAAAGAGAGAGAGAGACAGCGGAGGGTGAAAACAAGCCACTTGCCACAAGATTCCGATGAGATTGTGTCGGGAGTTGAGACTAGACGGGCTGAGAGTTGAGCAGGGAGAATGCTTTTAGGCATGTGCTTTTTGTGCGAATGGGCAAAAATATATATATGAGGGGAATGAGAAGAAAAAATTGGCCTCTGCTAAAGTAATTGCCTAACGAGATGTAATTTAAGAGTGTCACACACAGGGGCTGCAGAGATAAATAGCGCACACCGGAAAACAAAAATAATATTCCAACTTATTCTAACATTTATTATGTTAAACGCTAATACCAAACATGTATTTCTTAAAGAAAGAGAAAACACTCCAACCAAATATTCCCTATATATATACCTATTCCAAATAAAGCAAATATTTACAATTTAAATACAAAGATTTAGATTACAGTCTCGAATTAATCTTCAGAGGGCCAGGGTGTAAGTGGCCACCGTTTATTTTCACAAATCTTTTTATCGAATCGACTTCTTATTTATAAAGTTTTTTAATAAAAAAACTACTAAAATTTGTGCAAATTTACCGGCCCCCTCTAAAGGAATTTCGTTAATTGTAAAATTATTCGACAACATCAATAACTTCATTTTTAAATAAATAATTATTATTTTTTCTAAGGAATTATAAAACAAGAAGAAATCGATCACTCCGAGTCTTTGACTCGATTTCTTCTTGTTTTATAATAATTAAAGATGACCGAGTAATAAAATTATTATTTTATATTATAAGAATATTTTTACTGTAACTTCTTAAAAAACTTTTTTAACAAAATTCTAAATTCACAACTAAATTCACAGAATTTTTTTACTAAAATTCTTCTTTAAAACAATTATTTTTAATAATTTTTCAAAAAGTTCTTTGAGAATTTTCAAATCGATTTGTTTACAATTCAATATGTTACGTGAAACTTCGATTATTCGGAAATTTTTTCAATTAAGTAGATATTAGAAAATAAAAACTTCAAATAATTTTTAAAAATAATTCAATTAAACTTTTTCAAAAGAATTTAATTATACAGAATTGGAAGTTAAAAGTATGAAAAATTCAAATTTTCAAAGATTTTAATTAACCGATTAAACGAACTTACCTGTAAGTGAAGTTCAATCGGAATTATATGAGTGGTCTCGTTCGAATAGATTAATATGTAGTACCATCTTTCTGCCAAATCTGATCACACTTTTAAAGCTTTGAATAAATTTAAAAGGTTACACCGCGCTGCCGCGACTCTTCCGGTGGCGCTCTGTCCCCAAATCTCATTATTTTTAAAGCAAATAAATCGCAATTTCATGGGTTTTATTTTATTTAGAAAATAAATAAAACAGGGAAGGGAGGGAGTAATCTATTCGAACGAGACCACTCATATAATTCCGATTGAACTTCACTTACAGGTAAGTTCGTTTAATCGGTTAATTATATTTCGTCGTCTCGTTCGAATAGATTAATATGTAGATGTTTAAAGACATATGTAATTGCGATTCCACAACTTAACTTTATTTAGTGAATCTACGCAATACAGAATTTTTAAATTGAAAAAATTAGTAAAAGTTTTAACTTAAGTTTAAGATTGAATTAGGGCTCTTGCATATGCCGCTTTATCAGAAATCGGTCGCTTGTAAAAAGTGGCAAAGACACTTGAATTTTCTGACCATCCTGCGGTCTTGCGAATAGTCTCTAGATCGATTCCCCTTAGATTAGCCGCGGAAGTGGATGCGTGTCTAGTACTGTGGGACTTAAAAATGGAGACATCTACTCCACTTTTTTCCAAAGTACTCCTTATCCACCTTGCAAGAGTTTGCGTTGTCGCTGGTTTAAACGGTTTTCTACAAGTTATAAATAAATTTTTGTTTGAGCCCCTGAGATCCTTAGTCTTTTTTATATACATTTGCAAGATCGACGCAACACATAATTCGGGTTGTTCCTTAAAAAACGGTAATACAAGACACGGTTGAAGCTTATTAATCTTTGAAGTTTTAACTCTTTCTGGAACTTTAATTTGAATGAATTCCGACGACACTATAATATTATCAATACTGATTTTAGCAAATGTTTGCATTCGATGTGCGGTAACTAAGGCTATTAACATTAACAATTTTTTGGTTAAGTCTTCTAATTTAAGCTGATCATGTGGAAATTGAGTTTTCAAAAAATCAATGACAATCTGAGGGTCCCATATAAAGTCATACCTAGCCCGCTGTGGCTTCAAGTTTGCTACGCCTTTGAAAAAACGCTTTATTAATGGATCTTTTCCAATATCTATTGATAAAATTAGGGAAACAGCAGCCCTATATGAATTAAGAGTCCCATAACTTCCGACATCTTTAAAGACTTCTGAGAAAAATTGTAAAACCTCTTTTGAATCTACATTGAAGACTGAAAGCTTATTTTTAAAACAATACTCCCACCATAAACGTAATGGTTTTTCATATTGTTTAATCGTGTTTTCCGACAGTGAAGCAAGCATAATGTCTAATCCTGATTCCGGAATTCCTCTTCTAGAAAATGCTTGCCGCATAATTTCCCGGCCACCAGGATAAGATTCTCTGCCATCGGGTGAATTTTCCTAAAAGGAGAAGCAAGCAGATTTAGACTAGGGCCTAGAAATAAAGGTTTATCAATTAGTAAATCTACAAATAGCGGATACCACACTTGTGTGGGCCAAAAAGGAACCACTAAAACACCTTCAGCTCTGTCCTCAATAATCTTTTTTATGACTCTTAAAATTAAAGAAAATGGGGGAAATGCATAAAAATAAGTATTTCCCCAGGGTATGGTCATCGCATCAATAGCTACTGATTCCGGATCGGGAAACCAGGAAACGAATTTAGGACATTTATTATTAGAACAGGTTGCAAATAAATCAATTTCAAATACTCCGAATTTATCTACAATTTTTCTAAACTCACTATGGTTTAATTCCCACTCCGTTTCTGGAGGGAGAACTCGAGATTCTTTGTCCGCAACTACATTATCTTTTGATTTAATGTATGAGGCAAAGATCCAAATGTCCCTCTTTTCGCACCATTGCCAAATTTGTTTCGTGATGTCTTGAAGATTAGAAAATTGTACCCCACCCATTCTATTAATATAGGATATCGCTGTAGTGTTATCAATGCGCATCAAAATTTGACAAGAACTATGATCTGAGGCGAGACTCTTAAGCGAATAGAAAGCAGCTTTTAGTTCCAGGTAATTTATGCTTTGGTTTCGGTCTTCTACGTCCCACCAACCATGGGTTTTTTGTGCTCCGCAACATGCACCCCACCCAGTTAGCGACGCATCCGAGAATATTTCTAGTTGAAATTTGGAATCTCTAATTAAATTAAAGGACCCTGAAATTTTACTTATCCACCAGTCTATTTCCGATTTTACCTTGCTTGACAAATGCACTGAAGCCTCAAAATTTCCGTTTGCTATTTCTAAAGCAAGAAACTTTGCTCTTTCCATTTGTTTAGTGTATAACCAGCCGTATCGAACACCTGGGCATGCCGCGACTAAAACTCCTATGCATTGCGCAAAAGCTCTAATACTACATTTTGATTTTTTACGAAAGTCTTGTGTCAATTTTAAAATCTTTTCTTTTTTCCTATCGGGAAGTTTGACAGTTAAATTATTACTATTCCATATAAAACCCAAGTATTCGCAAGTTTTTGAAGGAGTTAGACACGATTTCTCTTTATTGACAATAAACCCGAGCGATTCTAAAAGTTCTATAGTTTTAGAAATATTAAGCAGGCACTGATTCTTAGTTTTTGAAATTAAAAGAAAATCGTCTAGGTATAGGACTGATAAAAGACCTTGGCTTCTTAAACATTCAATAATCGGTTTTGTAATCTTTGTAAATAAAAAGGGTGCTGTACAAAGACCAAAGGGTAAACAAATAAATTCGTACAAATTACCATTAAACTCAAATCTCAAAAATTTTCGATGTTCCTTTGCTATTAATATATGAAAATAACCGTCCTTTAAATCGATAGAGGCCATGAAACAATCTTTAGTTAATAATCGCGTTACTGTTTTTTGATCTTCTAACTTGAAGTGAGGTGGGTTAATAAATAAATTCAATTTTTTGACATTTAAAATAAACCTTTTCTGGCCATTCGATTTATCCACCAGAAAATATGAGGAAAGGAATTGATTTTTACACGGTTTACATCGAGTCACTGCACCTTTACATTCTAGTTTATTTATTGCATCGGATAATTGTTTAAACTCTTCCTTTGAATGAGAAGGGGTTTTCGGCACATTTTCCTGTACCACATCTTTAATAAAAGGAATTTTATACCCCTGAATAGTGTTTAAAATGAATTTATCCTGTGTTATTTTTTGCCATTTGTCAAAAAACAGAGATAATCTACCTGACACTTTACTTACATTTACCGGCGACCTCGACCTCTCTGGTTCCTGTATTTCTGCCCATCCTGGCGACTCCTGTAGTTCCCCCTTATTGCTCCGGATGGGCCTCTGTAGTTTAACTGTCTAGAAGACGTGGTCTGACCAGAGCTTGTTTGAGGCAAACGTTGGAATCTATACGGCTTGTCAGTGGCGAACTTGTTGATAGGGGCATTCCTCCCGTTCGAGGATGATTTAATGACAGATCTGCTGTCTTTCTCTACCTCACGTGCCGCTTTTAGTCGTTCCGAGAGTTTTTCTCCGAAAAGTAAAGATTCGATTGGCTGACCCGCTGTAACATCTTCTACTAATCTATTAAGATTAGGAGTTATAAAAGCACGCCTTGTAATTGAAATATTATAATGAGCATCCGCCAATATTCGACCTGCATCACTCATAAAAGCCACAGCAGTTGCATCCATGCTCTTTCCTCGATTTAACTCGTTTGATAGGGCCAGTCCAATCGCATGCATCGCAGCTCCTATCTTCTCCTGAGCTTTTACTTGGAAATTATCTTTCTTTTTAGCTTTATCAGTCATATTGCGCTTAATTTCGGAATTTACTACAGGCGGCTTTAACGATGGGAAATTTTCGGGTAGAGAGTACTTTTTTAATGTATCTTCGCTTAACTGAGGCAAACCTTCTTTAAGAACAGTAGTCCAATTCTTTATTACAACGTTATGAATATTACCCTTCGGCTTGTCACGATTACTCGAATCTTCACCTAATATAGCGCGAACTTCATCACTTAATTGGACATCTCCTGGTTTGTCGAATTCTTCAAACGACGTCTCGCTTTTATTATCGTCTCTCGAATAAGCTGAACTGTGGTCAGCATCTCTAGAATCTGTCGAGCCTCTCGGGCTACGATCAACTTCTCTCGAGTCTGTCGAGTCTCTCGGACTTCGATCAGAAAAATGGCCATGTTCGAACGCACCTCTCGGGCGGCGTTTGCGAACATCAAGCGCATAATCACTATCGGACGAGTAACTTCTTCTAGATATTGAAAAATCTCTTCTTGTACGATCTCTAGGCGAACGGCTCCTGTGGCGTCCCTCATTTCTAGGTTTTTTAGAATCTTTCCTCTCGTAATAATGACGACCACGCCGTGACATAACCTCTTCTCGAGACAAAGATCGTTTTCGACTTGTATTTTTAATTTTACTACGAGATTTTTCTCCACTTTTATCCCTGGAGACACTATCACTATTTCCTTCCATTTTTTAGTTAAAGAACACTTGATAATTAGTAAAAAACACTAATTATCACACTATAAAAAATCTTTTCAGTGATCACAGATTTCACAAAAAAAAGGAATGAGATTTGGGGACAGAGCGCCACCGGAAGAGTCGCGGCAGCGCGGTGTAACCTTTTAAATTTATTCAAAGCTTTAAAAGTGTGATCAGATTTGGCAGAAAGATGGTACTACATATTAATCTATTCGAACGAGACGACGAAATATAATTAAAAAATTTTTCGAAATTAAATTATTTCTAAAAATTCAAGCTATAATGCTTTTAATATTCAATATTGTTATCTAAAATTTCAAATAAACTTCATTTTTAAATTAATTTTTATTGGAAAATTCTACTAGAATTCAATTATTTAAATACAAAAAAACAATTTATTGAATAATTGCATGTTTCTTAAAATTGAATTCTCATAAAGAATTTTATCAATAAATTTATAAATAATTGATTTGATATGAAGAATTTTATTGAAATTTTTAAAAATAATTAAATTCTAGAACCGAATTTTATTAAAATTTTCAAAAAACATTAAATTCTTACGAAAAACTTTATTAAATTTTTTTTTAAATAATTGAAAAATGTTTTAAATACAATTTAAAATTGTATTAAAAATAATTAAAATCCTGTGATGAGTTTTATGAAAATAATTGAATTCTTGCAACGAATTTTATTAAAAAATTTTCAAAATAATTGAATTTTTCAAATGAATTTTATAAAAAAAATTTTTAAATAATTGACTTTTTTCGAACATTTTTATGAAAATTGTATTTTAAAATAATAAAATTCTTGTGAGAATTTTATTATTTATGAAAATAATTCTTATAACGTATTTATTATCAAGTTTTTAAGAATAATTACATTTTTCGAGGAATTCGATTAAAATTGTATTAAAAATATTTGAAATTTTGCGATGAGTTGTATTATTTATGAAAATAATTGAATTCTTAAAAAAAATTTTATTATTTACGAAAATAATATTGAATCCTTGTAAAAATTTAATTATTTATGAAAATAATTGAATGATTGCGATCATTGAATTCTGGAAAATTTTTTAAAATAATTGAATTTCGGAGAAGAATATAATTATTTCTAAGAATAATTGAATTTATGACGAGAATTTTAAAAAAATTTTGAACATAATTGAATTTTTGTGAAGAATTTTATTACTTTTGAAAATAATTGAATTCCTGCACTTATTTGTGACTTCTCCAAAATTCAATTTTTTAAGTGTTTTTAACTAAAATTCTTCTATAAATCCATTATTTTTAATAATTAATATAAAAAATCTATTAAAAAATTGAACTAATTTCAGAAGAATTTGAATTATTAAAATTTTTCAAAAATCTACGTTCTTTGAAATTTCTAATTAAATTCATTCAAAATTTAAATTTTATAAAATTTAAAATTAAAACCTTTTGAAATTCATCTTGGTATTTATGAAAATTGTAAACATAACTCTTTTGAAATTCAATTAATTTTGAAATATCCATTAAATAATAATAATGCATAAACAAAAGTAATAAGAAATACAAAAATACATTTGATTTATGATTTGATACAAAAATAAAAATAATTTAAATTAGTGACTCACTTTTTGCTTTTGAAATAGTAAATTTTACTAATAAATTAGTAGAAATTACTATTTATTAGTAAAATTTACTTAAATTTATTAAAATTTACTAAGATTAGTAGAAATTATTATTTATTAGTAAAATTTACTAATTGAAAAGCAAAAAGTCAGTCACCAATTCAAATTAATAAACATTTTTACAAATTAAAATTTAGAGAGCACTACAAATCAGCACAGTAAAAAGAAAATCTTATTTTAAGGCACGAAAGCTGCCTTAAATTAAGATGCAACATTTTTAAGACAGTCAATGTTGAATTTACGCACGTTTTTCGTATCCTTTAACATTATAGCAGACAGTGTTGAATTTAAGGCAGCTCTTAAATTAAGATTTACTTTTTACTGTGAGAATCTAAGAAATATCTAAATATTCGTGTACACTAAATATATTTAAACTCAACTAAAACCACTACAATAAAATATACGTACGTGTATAAATTGAAATGTCAAAATTAAAACTGAACTCCGTACGCTAAAATTTCTTAGGAAAATTCATAAATAATGAACAGTAACAAAACAATGAAATTATTATTTATATCTATTATACATATTTTATGCCTGTTGGCATTGAACGCGAACAATAAACTTATTGTTCATTGTACTATTTTTGATAGACTCCGATTGTCCGAATGTACTCGTTTATTACTTTCCTACAATTCAATCATAATTAACTCAGACGTTGACATATTTTCTTTTTTCTTCTGAAGAAAAAAAAATAGTCAAAATAAAAAATAACAAAAAGCAAATATCTTTTAAAAGAACTAAGCAAATGATAGTAATTTTCTAAAATATTTTTTCTTACCCTAAACAAAATTTACGAAATCCTACAATTATAAAACTCTCATTATTTATAATAATAAGACTATATATCCTAGATCTCAAAAAAATTCTACTCAAATTCAGAAGAAAAAAAAACAGAAAACAAGATAAAATAGAAGCACACACAACTAAAATTGGATGAGCTAATAAAGAATATTCGGCCATTCCTCTTGCTTTTATTTACTAAAAAAACAGCAGTAGCATATTTTACCCTTTTTTATGAAGTAGACGCTACATGTTTGAAAAGATAGCGAAATTGGCAAGAGGAGTTGAATGATACAAGAAAAAAGAACTAGGGGAAGATAGTAATTGGCTTAAAGAGATAAATTGAATATTAAAGGTAAATGAAAAGTAAATTCCACTAGTTTTACAGCAAAAAAAAAATAAATAAATAAAGAGTTAAAAAAATATAAATATTTTCAATATCTTGAAAGCTATTACATATCTAATCAATACACAGAGAAGATTTATTACTTTAGACAATATAATTATTAATATACAGTACAAACAAATTTTGGCATCCTAACAATTTTTTATCCTCAAACAGATTTATTAACACAATATGAACACAAAATCTGTTTCAAAATTACAACCAATCCAATTACAATAATATAATCCAATTACAATTCTACAATTAATAAAAATATTTTCTAATCAATTAAATATTAATTAGGATTATCATAATTATTTTGCAACTAATCATCACAACCAGTTAAATTATTCTCAGATTGATCCAATCCTAATTAGATTATTTAACAATATTGGTGATATTTGCTATATAAATTAACCACAAATCATTTTCAGAAAACTGAAGATTTAATTTAAAAAAAAGGAAATTTAACTTAAAACAGGAATTTAAAAACAAATGCCTAATAAAACATGTACACATTTCCAAATATTCCTTAAAAAAACAAATTTCAATTATAATTAGAATTTAAAGAAAATTGTGCAGTAAGACCGTTTTTAAAACCATTTTAATAACACCACAAAGTTCAGAGAAATTATTAGAGCATAATAATTTGCATTACAAATGAACCTATAAAATAACTAAAAGTTTCCTTTTTTAATTTTTTTTAATGCCATGAATCAAATTATCGTTAAAATGCAGATTTTCACTTTCAGTTTATCGTAGAATTTTATTGAAAGAAAAATGATTAATTATCTTTCAATTAAATTCCTATTCATTTATAATATAATATATATATAGATATATCACAAAAAGAAAGAAAGATTAATTAAAAATACTTTTATTTTTATTTATTCACGATATAAATTCCGAGTCAGCTGGTAAATTCAATTGAATTTACAATCAATTTTTATCGACTGTTTTATACACTGGTATTTGAAAGAAAGTGTAAATAAGAGAAAAATAGGGGAAAAAAAGAAGAAAACGAGAAATGAAAAGAAAACGAGTAGAGAAGAAAAAAAGTACAAAAAAGATAAACTAAATCCTGAATCTGATTTCAAAGCCAATCGACCATCGGTATTTTTTATTTCCACTTAATGCTAACTTTATTTTTCACAAAACGTTGTTTTCATTCTAGACGAGTGAGGATAATTTGATTTATTACTTTTGCACTAAAGAATATTTATATACACACAAGAAAAAAATTGCCAAACTCTTATTCTTTGAAGAATAATACTTTAAAATAAACAGAAACATTTGTATTAAAAAAATTAAAAAAATATTTATTTTTGCAAAATAAATTTTTGTTTACTTTCTGATTCAGTTTTTATAATGCGGTCTTTAAAAAGTATTGAAAGTATTAAGAAAGTATTAAAATTAATAAATAAAATTTTAAAAAGTATTAAAATTAATAAATAAAATTTTAAAAAGTATTAAAATTGTTTAAAAAATTTAAATAAAAAAAATAAATAAATAAAAAAAAAATTTTTTTAATATTGTTAGAAAATCAAATCAAAAGTAAAATATAGAATATTTTTCATTAAAAAATACATTTTTGCAAAATAAACTTTGGTAATACCTAAACTTTTTCTGTTTTCCCATTTAATTTTTATAATGTGATGACCTTTTGATGTTAAAAATTCAATAAATCTACTCCGGAGGTTTGCAGAAAATTACATAATTTCTCAAGTACTCAAATATGTTATGATAATTTTTCGAGATACAATTTGTCTCGCAAGAATTGAAATTTTGGAGTTCATCCAAATATTATATATATTTTTAAAACCCCGATAACTTTTAGAGTTAATTATAAAAAATTATACTTGTTATACACTCAGAGAAAATTTTCATTGAAATTAAATATTATTTATTTAAATATTAGATAACAGTATATTTTATCTCTAAGCCTACTAAATTATTTATTTGTTTCAATTTTTATCAAGAATTTTATTCGACGCAAAAAAAATTTATTTGAATCAAATAAAAAATGTTTTTGGACTCAGTTGAATTTATTTGAACTAAATAATCGTTTTTTGGAGCAAATAAAATCTATTTGAACCAAATAATCGTTTTTTGGAGCAAATAAAATTTATTTGAACCAAATAAATTTTTTTTGAACCAAATAAAATTAGTTTGAAACAAATAAAATTT